AGTGGGATAATAAGGTGACACTCGGGTTCACAGAGGCCAAACGGCCCAGACCAAAAACACAATCCTAAACTACACAAGAACACAAACACAGAAGAACAATCCTAAAATAAACCTAATAAAAAAACACACAAAACCCTTCATCGGGATAACCATACCGAGCCGGCGAAATCAGGACCAATCACCCAATAGCTTGACCCGAAAGCTGGAACACCACTCCCGCCACTGCCTAATGCCTAGCAAGGACGAGTCCCAAGCCTCAAACACTCCAAGGATGAAGGCGACCCACAGCTCCAAGAGGATCAATCAACCCCCCCTCCACAGACCCGCATCCCGAGACCCGACCAAACACCACTGGTCAAAATCCGGGCTTGTCGGGCGTCCCACTCCACAACTCCAGCAGAGTGGAAATAGGGGCTCAAATCAACCCATCGTAACCCCAGCCGACGCGTCACAGACGAGCCAAGGCACATGGGTTGCACCCAACCCCAACCACAATCACTCACCTCCTTGAAGCAACCCACCATGAACCAGGCGCACAGCGGACGAGCTCCCACCGAGGACCGAGCAAAAATGGAGCCAACCAATAGCCAGCCACGATAGCCACAACTCGGAGAACCAACAGACGGAACCACCACCGGCGAGATGGAGACGGCGAGACTTGCCAACGGCTTGGGAGGAGAAGCTCCATCGGTGCAGAAGCACTAGCGAGGGAGAATTTATTTCTAAACTTTTCTCTCTAATAATCATATTTTACCCATTTTAAGTATGAAATAGTATTATATTAGTCTTTTAAAAATGGTATTTGTTTAAAATTTAGTTGATATGCTGTCAATTTAATAAAAATAAATAATTAACTATCCAAACTCTAAATTACATTTAACGTTAAATATATATATATATATATATATGTATGTATGTATATAGTTTGACGTCTAAATTCTAAAATTATATGCGGGTGTTTAACTATTATGATTTAAAAAATATAGTTTGACAGTCTAATTAAAATACAAAGTGATGTTTTATATAACATTAAATTATTTTTATATATGCTTCTTAATTCAACACTCGTGCAACACGCGGGTATTGTACTAGTAAGTTTTAATCAGATAAAAACTTACAATTAACAACTACTTGATAATGACAATAACGACAAAAAAAAGGTGAAAACACTTATGTTTTTTAATTTGCTTTTGAAAATGTCTCCAAATTATAAAATTTCGTAGTTTTATTTCAAATTATGTAAAAAAAAAAAATTGAGTTCTTTTTTAAACATAATTAACAATACTCTGGAAAACTAGGATGTTTTGCATAATTTAAATTAATATTAAAATCTTTTTGCAGTATTTATTTTTTAAAATTAAAAAGTATAAGTCCTTCAATTTTTCTTTGTTACTTTTTTTATCAAGTAGTCGTTATTAATTGCATTCTTTTTTTTTGGTACAAAAGAGGGGGCCAAGGGCCTAGGAAGAGTATGAAGTTAGAACTCGTCGGGGGTAAGACACTCCGATAAGATCATGGTCTAGCCATGCTCCCAAACCTATAGGAGGTGAAGCCAGTCGATGCACTCCAATCGTAGTCGAATATGCCAAGCTCGCCATATGGTCGGCCGCACCATTCGCTTTCCTATGCACATGTTGGATCTTTACGCGCCAATCCCTCGCAACCAAGCTTCGAATGGTTCGAACTAATGTATCATTAGCTCCAAAACTATTATCGGCCCCAAGGATCATTCGTGTGATGCAAAGACTGTCCACCTCGGCTACAACTTGGCGGAATCCCAAGTCCCAGGCCAACTGTAAGCCTTGTAAAAGACCCCAAAGCTCAGCGCCCGTGATGGTAGTGTACCCAATATGCATTAAGAACCCCTCAATCCATCGACCCGTCTCATCACGAAGCAAACCACCCGCGCTACTTCGACCCGTGTTGGTCTGAACCGCTCCGTCGGAGTTCACCTTAATCCATCCGGAGCCGGCGGAATCCATCATATCATACGTGTAACATACCCAGGAGCCCCCACCTGACGGAAGGGCACAGCAGCGCGAGCATAATTCTCCGCCCGTCGAAGAACCTCTAAAGCTCGAGCCTCGGATGTCGACGATTTGGAGCAGAAAATACGAGCATTACGTCCGTTCCACATGGACCACGCAGCAAAGGAGAATATGCTGCCCCAGTTCTGACGCGACCCCAACGTGTCCGTCGAAATATTCGCCCGCAACTAAGGTCGAAGGGGCTGGTGGAAGAACGGGCCTACAGTATCCGCCGGAAGTAAGCATTTCCAAACGTCCTGAGCCAACGAGCAATCTCGCAGCACATGCATGACCGACTCACCTTCACCACGCCGCCGAGGAGGAAAGATGTCGTCGCATGCGCTCCAAGTTTGTGAGCAATCTGGGGCCCTCCAAATCAGCCGCCAGAGAGGCTTGTCAGGATCGTTCGCAGGTTGTGACAAAGCCATATAGGCCGAGCGTGTAGAAAACCGGCCGTCTTTGGACGGACCCCACCAGATCCGGTCCGGTCCAGCCGACCCTCTCGGCGGGAGAGTTCCAGCGATGAACATGATGATCGACGAGGGAAGGAGATCATGAAGCAGGTCCCAGCTCCAGTTACCGTGCACATCCACGTAGTCAGCCACCTTCCAGTGTAAGGAATCAGACGGCGGTTGGCAAAGCACATAACTAATGAGCGGGTTAGCCGAACCTAACCAAGGGCCTAGCCAGAAGCGAGCTGTCTCGCCATTGCCAATGGTCCAGCGAACCCCTTGCACAAAAGCCGGCCAAATTTTACCAAGTGCTCGCATCAAGGGTGAGCCCTGCCTGCGAACAAGAGTAACAATATTATTCAATCGCTGAAACCCATATTTAGCCGATAGGACACGAACCCAAAGAGAGTCGCGATTCGTCAAAATCCCCCATCCTAGTTTCATCAGTAGGGCACTATTCATGCGGCGCAAGTCTTTAATCTCTAGACCCCCGGCTTCTTTAGAATGGCAAACTTCCGACCATGGGATCAAATGGACTCGACGCCTCGCCTCTACTCCACCCCATACAAACGCTCGACATCTCCTCTCCAGTCCATCTACAGTTGCACATGGTAGCAAAGAGGACTGCATGGAGTAGAATGGCAGTGTACTTAGAATCGACTGAACAAGGGTGACCAACTATTGTATTTTTTTACTTGCCATGTATAGGAAGTTAATTTATTATGAAACCAACTATTAGCTCCATAACAAAACGGTTAACTTCCAATAACAAGAAACACATGTAAACCGCCCAATATAGCAATTTATCATTCCAACAGCACACAAAACAAACAAACTCATCCAAGACATGGTTCTTCGTTTCAGATACAATGTCAAAGACGTATCTAAAACTCTTTTGTAGATTCTAGGCACAAAGAAGTAAGTTGAAAGGGTGATAATGACACAAAACTCAATATCATTGCAGCTGCACAACATTGGCAGAAAACAACTAAGCATAGTGTTTGTATTTTAGACATATCTTTAAATATAAAATAGGTATTGAACTAATTGTCAGTCCTCCCAAATGCCAGGGGACATATTCAAGACTTTCATGAAGATATTGAAAATGCTAAGGGACGTATTCAAGACTTTCATGAAGATATTGAAAATAGAACAAGTTGTTAGGAAGGTGACAAAATCTCATAAATAATCAAATAGCAAATGTGATGTAGACACGTGAATGACGAAATGGAATAAATGAGAACTCTCATACGAGAACTCACGAGAAATCACAAAGAACAGATAACTTTTCTTATTTTCATTCAACTCCTCGTTCCATCCAATTTCTAGTGCATAAATAGACTCCTGTCACAAATAAACTCCTAATTTGCTGGCCAAGTTTTATTCCTAAAAGATAAATATCATCCTAACAATAAAAAAAGACAAATAAGGAATAATAGAAATAATTATGCGAATAAATAACTATTTTAATGTTGGGATTCGATCGTATTTTTCAAAGAAAGCTATCGCGAGCTCGTCTTCATCATCCTCCCCCGGTTGAAGAGGATTCGTCCTCGAATCCGCAACGAGCTCGTCTTCAACAGAGTCGTGGAAAAGGAAAGGAGCCAATTGAGCCACATGAACAATGTCCGACAAACGCAAATGAGAGGGCAAACGAAGACGGTAAACAGCCGGAAGGACTGGCTCGATAACCTCGTAAGGACCGACTCGTTCGTCTGTCGGGGAATCAACACAAACAAAATCACCCACAACAAACACCACCGAACAATTGTCTAATGAACCATAACCCTCGTCACATGCCCCGCTACGAGAAAGAAATAAGGCCGCTGGTGGGGACACCGACATCGAATGGGGAGCTGCAGGATGCAAAACTAAGCAGACACCATCAAATGTAAACTCGTACGTGTTAAGACGCCCATCATGCACCACGGCACGATCAAACTGACAAGGACGCCCCAACAAAAGGTGCCACGTATCCGTAGGCACAATGTCACACCACACCACATCCTTATACGAAGAGCCGATAGAAAAATATACCAACGCTCGGCGCGTAACAGAGACATCGTTGTCACGTTGTATCCACGCGAGAGAGTATAGATCCGGATGCGGCTCACTCACCAACCCCAGCTTCTGAACAGCTTCAACCGAGACTACGTTCACGCAGGAGCCCGAATCAATCATAAAACGGCACACCCAGCCGCCAATAGTACATGTAGACTGAAAAAGGTGTCGCCGCTGACACTCATCGTCGGAAGAAATGGGATGAGACAACAAGGATCGACGAAGGACAAGTGCGTGACCCACGTCCCCCGAGACATGTACCACGGGAACCTCCGACTCCTTATCGAAAATAGGAGGGCCATCGTACTTTGTGGACTCCATCTCCTCAACAATTAAAGCCCGTGACCCCTTTGACTTCAGACACTGAGCCTGCCGATGCCCCGGTTCACCGCAGGAGGAGCAACGTGGAGTACCAGACTGTCGCATGCTGCCCCCAGCCGTAGGACCTACAGACACTGCACTAAAACCAGGACTGGCCAAGTGATCTAGACGGCGCTGGAACCACGGTCCCCGGAAGCTCCTTAATAGACGACGTAGCCAATGCACCCGCCTTTCGGGCTTGCTGTTGTTCGAGCAACAATGCGCGCTGATGTGCAGCCGAAACTGACTTGGGGACAATCATATTGAGGATATCTTGGAAAGCCACACGTAACCGCCCACATACCTCGAAACCAATTGGGTCGTCGTCTCGCGAACCTCCACACGAGTCAGGAGGCGATAAAATTTTTTCGTATATTCATTAACGGAATGAGCCCCTTGCCTTAAGATCTGGAATTGCTGATAAACAGAATTTGCATAATTAAACTGTAAAAATTCACATTCTAAGTGCTTACGGAACTTAATCCAAGTCGAGATTTTTAGTTTGCCCAGTCGATCGTATTTCTCCAAGAAAGCTATCGCGAGCTCGACTTCATCAAAATGGTCAAGTTCGATAGCAAACAACCTTGCACAATGATCATGTTTTGAAGTTCGATAGCAAACAACCTCACATAGAACTCAAAACCACGGGTCGAACTTAACACATACACACATACACGCTTAGCTTCCGAGACCATTGATTGGATAAATAGCCTCACCGATAACTCAAAACTATTGCTCAAAAAATTGTACCTCCAAGAGTACACAAAACCACATCTGAAACGTACACACAACAAAGCTTTGAGAACCTTAGATTGCACAAATAACCTTACTAACTAAAAATAAAATAACAACTCAACCACAACGCACACACAACACAATAAACTAAGAAAGAAATTGCAAGAAACGTACTTATCAATAATCACTACTTTCTTCAGAATTCGATAGAAGATACCAAAAAATATAGTAATGAGTTGAAGATTGTTAGGGTTCATCGACGATTTATTTTTAAAATTTTCAAGCACATAAGTGAAATGAATGCAAAGAGAACATATGCATACTATTTGTACATGTAAAGTAAGTTGGGTGGGCAAGACGTCATCCGTCCCATACCTTGAGAACAGACCAAATAGTTGATCTCATTCATTGGTCTTCGCCCACAATTTAATTTCTACTGAAAAACTTAACCAGAGACATCTACATAGATCAGATGAAATCTTAAGTGTACTTCTTATTATATTATCATTACGTACTGGGAAAAATAAAACACAAGTAGGCGCCATTCTCACCACTTTCATTAGATCTGCTCAGGAATCTCTTCGTCTCCAGTCATGTTTAAGGAATAAAAACACCACATAATAATTATGTTGGTGCAACAACCATATTAATTGGATTTACATACGCTCATCTCATATAAGATAAGCAAGTTTACACTCACAATTAATACAGCAACATAAGATCCAAAAAATAAAACAACCAGCAGTAGAGACACCCTATATCATCTCAAGGGCCTGAAGAATGTCAGTTTTTAAGTCATCAAAGTCCTCCACCCCAAAGCTGAATCGAACTAGGTTGTCCAAGATGCCATACTTGGCCCTTTCAGACTGCGAAAGATCCCTGTTTCCAAATTCATGTTACAAGGCACAACATGTTAATTAAATAATATCACCAATTTTGCCGATAATAAAATGTGATGAAACACTACTAATGAATAGCTACACACATTCTTGCTATAAGCTGCAACTTACAGGGCAACGATCCAAACTACAAATACTACAAATACGCTGAAGGGTTTAAAGCATTCTTCCTATTGATGGTGCAATTTGAAATTTAAACAAATATCAAGCTGTTTACTGTAATTTCCAAACATCACTTTCTTAACATTTATACCATATACCAATATGCCTTTACGGCCTTTTTGAGATCAATCCAAACATCATTGCATAAAGCAAGAGTCCTGGAAATTAGATGCTTCAGCTTAACTAATGGCAAGAGGCATAAAGACGCACCAATAGGACATTATGGCCGGTTGATCAACAATGCTTTCACAGCCTCCGAAGGAAGGGGCTATGTATGGGATTTTCAGAGCATCAATAAATTTTGCAGTGGTCAGCAAATCCCCATCAACCTAAAAAAAAACATTACCTTCAGACAACC